GAAGAGCCAAAGAATGTCACAGATGCCACCTTCCCCACAGCTTGCCGATACAGCTGCAGGTTAGCATCCACCCTCCCTCCTCGCGTCGACCGCTGGATTGGGTGCTATCTCCTGGGTCACAGACTTTCAAGGATTTTGTATTTTGGGATATTTCTACTTCTTTGTAGTAACTTAAATATGCATGAGTGCAAAAAGTAGATTCCATGCTAAGTATTTTGACAAGAAGAAATCTTGTAGAGTTGAATTACTTGCTATACAAACAGATTGAGAACTCCAAAGGGGTTTGAAGCTATACCAGCCTGACTTCTTTTGCCCTACTAGTCACAGATTATAATCAATGTTGCAAATGTTATACAATATAAATAAAAATAACTTCTTTCATCATATCTAGAATTTACGTCTTTTTATAGAAGTTCATTACAATTTTGTATTGAACTATTTGTTATGGTTGTGATTCAAACTAAATTTTTTAAAATAATATTTTATATTCAAAGACAATTTTTGAAAGATTGATTACATTACTATTGGTTTTTGCTGAACCTATATGGTCATGGTCATAAAACTATTTCATAATTCATTTTAATTATTTATCTTTTTTTTTTACACTGAAAGGTTTTAATCTTTAAGTACAACGTTCCATATGTATGTGAACTCCATGTGCAACGAGTCAGCATGGCAGTGAATAGAAAGAAATCCCGGTTTGATCTTTAACATCAGTAGCTAGCATTGTATTCTTTGGTGACTCTGAAATCCTGTATCCGCTTAACTAGAATTTAGAGAAGTGAAATATGAAATATTTTTTTCCCCTCATGATAGGAATTAGATACAGTTGTACGCTCAGAAGTACCGAGTTAGTAATAGAGAAGTTAGAAGACCCTTCGTTTGAAGCAGCTCTGCAGTAGTTAGTAGGTAACGTTAATGAAGGAGGCAGCGTGCAACGGTAGCGGTCTCACACCACCGAAGCGTGTGTGGGCAACAGCAATACAAATCAAAGGACGAGGTTGTTAATGTCAAAACTTTCATTCATTTCCTACAGTGTCATATCTTTTTATTTTATATTAACACAGTGGAACAGCAAGAAGAACAACCTATTATAAACTCCGCTCAGAAGCAGGGGAGTGCAGTTGTGACCTGCTTTATAGAGCTGTGTTAGGCAACACTACAGAGGAAGGCAGACCCTTCCCACGCTGTGGGAGCTTCTTGCCGTAGAGGTTGCAGCCCAGAGGGGAGATCAGCTGTCACAGCTCTCCTGCTCCCCCTGCCAGGCGAATAGTCTGGGACTCACGTTATCGTTTCTGTCTCCCATGTCTCCCCCACCCATGTGATGGCTGATGCTGCAAAAACAATGTGATAATCTGGAAGAAGGCTGGCACAAATTGCTTCCTTACCTGAGGCAGAGTGGGGACTCTGCATGACCTCTTTTTTTTTTGTTTTGAGGCATATAAGGAAATGTGAAGTCTTTCATCGCTTAAGGTAGTCCGTCCCTACACCATTAATTAAAATAGCTTCATTGTTGTTTCTGAAAACTAGCTCTTTCTAATTCAAAGTCAGCTTCACAATGCATGCAGTTTTATAAATCATTATTTTAATAAATTAATTTTGCACTTATGTTTAAATTGAATTGGAGAATTTGGGGACTAGTGAGCCGCTTTATTTCATTGTCCTGCAAAGTAATTTGATGCCTCTCATTTCTTATAACCTAATTTATAGGTTAGCATTTCAGATTACATTTTCTTTCTGAGTTTAAATGCATTTGTCATTTGCAGCATAAAGAATGTGCTATATTTTTAATACTGGTAATGTTAGGTATAGATTCCACAGCAGACCTAACAGAAACAGCAAAAGGTTATGCTTCATCAAAAACTCTGTGCAAAGAGCTGTCCCAGTTTCTAGATCTGCAACTGTTATATGAAGATCCTTCTTTTCAAGAATAAGCTTGTCTGTAGTGCTTTATTTACACAGTAACTTCTGATACATGAAAGTCTATTCTAAAAATAAAGAGGTACCAGCTTTTACTGAGTGAATTCTTTCCAAATACAGTTCTTCACTGTGAGAAGGTGTAAAAACAGCTAAGCAAATAAATAATACTTAGCCCTGTAAAGTACAGTAATGTTTATGTGAAATGGTAGATGGAAGCAAGAAAGGGAGGCCAAGAAGACAAAAAAGCAAGTTTTTAAGACATAATTTTAATTGCACAGGTCGTAAAGCTATGCTTTCAGGATTCGTAATCTGTGGTTTCATAATTATATTTAAAATCGTGTGTGTTTGGATCCATTTTCCCTCCTTTGCATTCAGTGTGTCATGTTGACTTACAAACTCCTTAGGGGAGAGACTACATTTTAACATGTATACAAACGCTGTTAGAATAGTTTTAACAGTTTTAACTGAGATTTCTGGTACACTCGGACTGCACATTATTAATCATAATTAATTTTCAATGCTTTTTAATGGAACGGGAATGTACTATTATCATGATGCCATGTTTTTCTCTCTTTAAAATCAGGTTTTACTCTCTTAGCTTTGGATATACCCAGCAAAGCCCTATCAGATCTCCAGCCACAGCCCGTTCTCTCAATGATGCAGCTGTTTGGATGGGATGACATGGTGTGGCCTCAGCTGGTGTCAAGATATCTAAGTCACCTAATTCAAAACAGGTGAAAATTGCGACTGCTTGTTCTTCCAGTACCCTCTTATTCCTTCATTAGACTTGTCGAAAATGTTGCTTCAAGCAGTAATGTTTCGTTAAGATGGTCTAAATTCTTTGCATCTGTTAAAGTTGAAATCGTCTGGGACATTGCACAGGGGATAGTGGGTGTTATTTGGGTTGGATTGTTTCTTTGTTTTTGTGTGAAAATAGCTTAAGATACTCAAAATTTCTCAGGAAGAGAGGTAAGTATGTTGAAAAACTTATATAGCTTTCATATAGCTACCCACTTACTTTTTCCATTGGAAACAGTGTTGTTACTAACAGATTTTGGAAAATGGTGACCTGGACAATATCTTCAGAGAAGTACTTCTGTGAAGAGCAATACTGCATCAAAGTGAAATGCCTGAAACCATAACCTGTTTTTAATTTGCATAGTTACAGTTATCCACCCCCTTCTGTTGTTGTTACACTTGAGCAAAGTTGTTACAGCTTGGCAAGGCAGTAGCCTCCTGCCCTAGCTGCACTTGAAGTTGAACAACGTAACTTGGTAAATTTAAAAATTTCCATTTAAAAGTACTGGTCTTATTTTTCCCCTACCAGTTATACTTAACACAAAAACTTAAATCTTATAAAAAGTCAAGATAAATGCTATCACAGAAGTCTGAAGATGTTATATAGTAAGTATTCAATGCTTAAATATCTTGACTTCTTCAAAAAGAACTTCTGCAAGAAGCTGAGGAGGATGGGTAGAGCAGTATTGAACGTATAAGGAAAATGATCATAAGGAAATGTATGCATTAAAACTTTCTTTTTGACAAGCTTGGAACACTTTCTGAGTGCATATCAATATTCAGGTAGCTCAGGTGTCTAAGACTTGCTAAATTAAAAATTTAGAAAATTTATCGCATTCTTATGTTTTACATGCCAATGTTGAATTTTCACAGAAACACAGAATTGTTTAGGTTGGAAGGGACTCTTGAGATCAGGTAGACTAACTTGTCCAATGCTTCTGCTCAAGCAGGGTCAGGTAGGGCAGGTTGTCCAGGGCTCTGTTCACTTAGAATTTTATATACCTGAGAAATTTTATTTGCTTTAAGTAGACCTTTATGAACCTAAGATAGATGGGGAGTGGTGGTGGTGGTTGTTGTGGTGAGTTTTTTTTCTTCCCTTACCCCATTTCAGAATCAGGCTTTGGAAGCAGGGGAGGTGGGAGAGAAGAGAGAAAGAGGGAGTGTTTCCATGTTGGACTGTATTTGAAAGTGAAAAATGTTGCATGTTTTTAGGGTGCATATTGTACTAAGAAGCATAGCTGTAAATCAGGATATGGTAAAGACTATTTCAGTGTGGTAGGCAAAGATGAGCCTATGGCCTTTTTGCAGGAAGATGTTAAAAGAGGTTGAATTTAGTTTCTCCTGTATCTGTTTGGAACTCGATGGGAGCAATTGGTCCTCTGATTAGCCATATTTCTTTTGTATGATCTCTATAGGATGAGTTTCATGCAAGGTTGCAAATACCTAGCGTGTGCTGAACGAAATAGGAGTTAAGCACGTAAATACCTATTTATAGTTTGAATTCTGTTGCTCTTCAGGTGAGATCAAGAAAAATATTTTAATGTCTACCCTGGAATTTTGATATCATTCAAGTGCTTAAGGCTAATTACCAGTTCCTCCAGTAAACACGGAAGTGATTGAAAGCAGTTCCTTAAGTATTCATTAGCAATGTTCGTTAAGCACCTGGCATATTTTTACATGTGTATCCACAGATACAATGTTATGCTGGCTGAGGTAACATTTTGACCATGGTTCCAAATGCAGTAAACGTTCCTGTTCCCAAGTGCTTGGGAGCATGATTGCATTAGCAAGTGCAGACCACGGACACGTGGCTGGTACTGAGTTCCCATACAGCCTTGCTGCCATAATTTCATATGAAAATGCAGTTAGTATTGATGATAGTTACCTGTTGTACGTTAGTTGAGAGGTTAGAGCACTTGGAAATTTGGAAAACCCAAGTTAAGTGAGTCTTGCACTCTGAGGGAATTCAAACCTTTATTTCCAAGTATCACCTTAGAAAGGAACGAGAGGACCTTGCTCTCCTCTTACAGATTGTCCCATGGACTAACTGAAAATGTCAGGTTCATGGATCTGTATTGAGAGAACTAGCAGGAGAAAGCATAATTCCCTAGCTGAGTGAGGATGCGTATTTGTCTTTTGCTTACGTGTGTGTACGTTCTCGTTCTTTCTGGTTCTCTCACTTATGTTCTCGCTCTCTGTTACTCTCTGCTTTTCTGAATCTCCCTGCTGCTGGAAGCATGGGATAGAAGGCGCTCACACAGAGGCAAATATTTTTGCTCCTGAGTTGATGGGGTTGCAATTGCTCAGCCTCAAGGAGAATTCTTTCCCCCCTATCTTTTGCCTCAAGACCAACAAAGTGAAAACTGAAGTATCTGAGACTAGGTGAAGGTATGTCCTTACCTCCTCAACAGAGCTGTAAGGTGCTCAGATTTCCTTCTGGAAAGGACAATGAGTACCTAAGATAAGACTTTTTTGGTGGAATTATACAGAGGTATCGTACTCCAAACACTGTCATTTCATTATATGCTAATAAGTTGGAATTTTTTGTAGCATGATTCATGTACTTATTTACCTTAGGCAGTTGTAGAGCAAAAGTTATCAAAGTATCTAAGTGCTGGGATCTTAAGACTTCATGGTTACTGTGTTGTGATAATTTTCACATCAAACATTCTCAGTTAAAAAGTAAAAAGATTATTTCGTTGCTGATGCTGTTACATAGCCTGCAAGCTCAGCCTGGTCTCTTTAAGATTGAAGCTTGTTCTGCATATCAGCTATTCCAGTATCGATAATAAAGGTTCTGATGGACAAGCTGTGCCCTTGGGAACGTGCACACAAGTTTTGACATTTCTTTTGCAGTAGTGCCTGAAAGTTCCTCTCCAGATTCGTGTTGTGTAGCGTGTGATAGCATTATAACCTGTTTAAGCTGACCCTGAGCATGTATATAAGTGCACTGATTTATAAGGACCACTTGCCATGCTTCTAGCAGGTAGTTACTGTTCATCCTTTCTTAAGGATTAGAAGCACATTCCTCTCCAGTTTTAGGAAGATACTTAAGTGGCCTACGTACCAGCAAGCAAGAGAAACAAGAATGAGACTATAGCAGAGAATGTTTTTGTGAGCCTTTGGGGCCAGGTAGACTAGGCGTGTACGTCAAGATTACATAATGCTGGAATTTTTTATTGGTTATACATACTGCAAAGACCATTAAGTCCATAGGCTTCCTGTTTTTTTCTCTTTTGGTACTGGAATTTAATTATCGTTTTTTATATTTTATTTGCTTGCATTTGGTCTCCTTATTTATTTTGTCAATACTACTTCAGCAAGGATGTTCAGACAAAATATACAGTTGTCGTCGGTTTTAGTTAAATGAAATAGGGAAAAAAAAACTTTGTTCATGTTGTTTAGTGAGAAACAGAATCCAGTTTGGTTTCCACCTGGACCTGTGCTGGCTTTCTGTTGCAAGCATGAGTAAAAATTCAGTAGTAGAAAATAAGTAGATTTATATGTACATATATCAAGAAAAGAGTACAAGCATTTTTCATTAAAGTGAAAGCACCTAGGACTGACCAGGGAGGAAATCTCTCAAATAAAAAGGTATAACTATTTTCAAGAAATTTCACTGACCTGAAGCACACCCAGAGCTCATGCGATAGGAATTGCAAACAGGGTACACAACAGACCCGCTGTCCATTAGCAAGGAGTTTCTGCAGAATTAATGATGTGGGGCCGATGTGCTTGGAAAAAAAGTGACTGCAGCAGCTACTCGCGGTGGTAAGGCAAGTAAAACTTTGGGAATACTGAACAGTAGAGTAGAGGGATTGTGCATTGAGTGTTGATGGTGCCGTTGACTCCAGCCTGACACCTGGCTGGTAGAACAGTAGTGAGCGTTTGATTGAAAGTATATACAGCAAATTTGCTCTGTGTGGGAATGTATATACTTGTGTGTGTATATATACATAAATACGTATGTCTGTAAGTGTGAGCGGTTTCTTTTCTCATCTCCAAGGTGCCTTTGTGTGTTTCCCTTTTTGATCTAACATGACATGTCTTTATTTGCTAAAGCAGACTTTCTCTTCTCCATTTTTTATGTAGTTAGGAGTAAGCAGTCTGCAGAGTAGTGCAGGGCACCTGAGCTAGCTTTATATGAAAGGCTGGAGCAGCTTAAGCAGCGTCAGTGTCAAGTTCCAGGTTGATTCAGATAAACTATTTCCAGCATTGTGCATTGTCAATTTAGCTAATACTGTCAAATTATCTGTTCTTAGAATAAGACATTTCCCATTGTATGAATTTCGCTCTCTCTCTTTTGTTTTATGTACTGAAAAATTATGCATATGCCTGTATATGCTTTTATGTCACCATTTACCGAATTTATCATGTTCTCTATATGTAGGCATCAGGATATGGTGAGTAAAGTCTGTGGAGTACACAAAAGGAATGCCAGTTGGCCTTTCTGTTACTTTATTTATAATTGTTTCTGTGCACTGTTTCTAGATGTCTACAGCCAAATGAGACGCTCTGCCACCTTTTTGCATACTTTTATTAGATCTCTTTACCTTTTTCTTCCTCTTCTGCCTGTGCAGTGCACTGTGTGAAGCTTTTTCTAGCATGGGATATACATCCTATGAAGCTTTGACAGTACGTTCTTGGTTTCGATGCGTTTTGCAAATGTTCATAGACCAACCAAGTGGTACGCTGGCCAAGACAGATGCTGAGCGAACAGTTGGTAAGTGTTCACATTCCCCTAATGTTTGCTGTAACGATTCTATATCGCAAAACTGGCAAACATTTTCAGCTAATTACAAAATGTATTTCTGTTTGTATTCCTTTACTTTTACCTAATTACAAAATGTGTTTCTTTACGCTGCTTGTGCTATTTATTGATAGTTTGCCTGCTCTGCATATGACAAATTTATCACAAACAAAGATAAAAGAGCTTGTTTCCTTGGAAGCAAAGAACAAAAACTTGCTCCCAAGGAGACAAGCTATTTTTCCCCCATGGAGAAACTGCTCTGAAAAAAGTGAAAATCTGAAGTAAATAGTTAGAAATCATGCTGTGAATGCCCTGAAAGGAAAAAAAGGAAAAAAAAATCCAGTTGCGAGTAGTTCTTCCTTTTTCTATACTGGATATTTTACTTTCTTACAGCAATACTTCATCGCTTCTGCTATAAAACACTGCAGTTCTAATTATTTGTAGAACACATCTTGTAGCAGCTATTTTTATATGCAATTTGTAGATTTTGAAGAAAACCATCAGTAAAATGAAAGATTTGGTTACACATACTTAGTACTCTTCATTCTTGAATATCTATATTAAAGATGTAACTAGTTTAGACACACATTCTTTGCCTAAAGAGATGCAGTTGGTTGTAGAATCCTTGTATTTTGAAGTCATGTTTCATTTTATGATTTTGGGACTGAAGTAAATTGAAAAGCATAACTATATACTGTGTTTACTGCTGTGCTCTCTTGTATCAAACAGGGAAAGCCTATATGGAGCAGCTGACTGAAATGACAAGACTGATTTTTAAACTCTCAGAAGTAGAAAACATTCTTTCAAAGGCTCACGTTGAAGAGTCAGTTTTCAAGCAAGACCCTAAAAATGCACTTGTCCAATTCATTAAGGTACTGCACATCTCTGTTAGCTTTATGGTACAATTTTAGGGAAAAGGAATTATGTATCAGAGTAGTTTTGGTCTACAAAGAGAAATTAACTCACACAAACCTTCTAAGAGACTTAGTAAGTTTACTTATATTTATTTCAATGTTTCTGTTTTCTCAGGCTGTTGGCAGAACTTACAGTGGCCTTCAGACACTCCCTGAGAAATCTGCCATGGTAGCAAAGACTCTGGAGTATTTAGGTGATGTGTTAAAGTATGTAAAACCTTATCTGAAGGTAAAAGGACCTCCAGAAGGTCTGCAGCTTACATATTGGATCATAGGTAATTATTTTGCAACCTCTTTTCTTGTAGGAAGTAGTTTAAAGAATCATAAAACTTGGAGTTTAATACTTTCTTTTTCTCTCTACTGTCCATCTCAATGATTTAAAAAAGCAAGTCATCAAGATGTTAGTTAGATATTTAATTTTCTTCCACTAGTTTTCTTTGGTTTTTGTCTTGATGCCTAACCTCCTTATGTTTTTTTTTTTTTAAATTACTGCTGCAAATCAGTGTTTTCAAAAGTAAGATATTTTCATGTCTTTTACCACTGAAACCCGCCTGATTTACCTAAACAAAACCAGAAACAGTGGCAAGCCAGTGAAGCAATGTTATGACATGCTGCATCGTATTTACTGGAGTTATAGTGAACAGGTTGGCTTAGGAATGTAATTTACTTCCTTTTAGAACTGCTTCTCTTAACATACACTCTGTGCTTTATTAAAGCTCAAATTCTAGTGTTTGTTCATGAAAGTATAGAACCACTGATAGGATGGAAAAATAACAATGCTGTTTATTATGAACAAATGTGCCAGTCTGACCCACTTAACCTTTAAAAATAGGGCAAACCTTATGTATCCTAAGGATGGAGGTAATGATTTGCACATACACGCAGTGTACATCATGGTTGTAAGGAGTACAGTCAAAAGCGTGAACTGTGATGCAGAAGGTGCATCAAATGTAATGGAATTTGAATTTTGTAAAATACTTTACTTTTCTATTGCAAGATCTGCATATTTTAATATACAGGACGTATGTCAAATTAAATGCTTTTAGATATCCAGACGTTGGGTTGGAGCCTTGTAAAGTAATTTTAGATTGGTATTTTCCTTTGTGTTCTTTGCAGTAGGAAATGATTAATCTTCAGTCATGCTGTTGCATGCAAGGAATTGTCCTTTCTTTTTAGTTAAGAAAACATAAAAAAGGTTTAAAAGAAAAAGAAAATTAAATGTATTTCATTCACTTCTCCACATTCTGTGGGCTTGTTAAATTATAAGGACAAAGCAAGAAACTTAACAAATCTAAACACCTCCTGTCCGTGGTCAGATTGTGTCTTCTACTGTCCCATACATCACAGCAATGATAATAGAAAGAGTACTTCTTTTTAATGAGCGTGTTTCTTTCAAAACAGGAAGCTTAGACAACATTATTAGAAGTATTGTTAAGTGATCGTTCTCTTTCTCTATGATTGATCATTGTGTTTTCTTTCACTCCACAAGATTAATGTTGTTTTGTGTTGTTTTTAGAGATGGCAATGGATGACTTTTATAGATTAATAATACCTTGTAGCAGCCTACTTTTGCTCTTTCAGTATTTTTGAAGTTTTAAACATATTTTCTTGGGATATTCCTGTATTTTCAACCCAGCAAACGCCTCCTTGCTTCTAATCAAATACAAACTTAGGAGTGTCTGTGGGAACTACTACATAGAAATCTTGTTTTATTTAATCTGTATTTTGAGTATTAACACTCATGAGTATAGAGTTATTTTCTCAAGAAAAATTACACCTCACCTGTGATAAAGATGTTTCTCAAAGTCAGGGCATTTACACATCAACACCTTTTTGCCTTTTTTTTTCAGCTCAAAAGCAAGATCTTAAAACTGCCTCAAAGCTGCACAAGTGATATGTTAATGTGTTGAAAACAAGAAAGATGTTCTCTGAGGCTCTCATTTTGTGGACTGAGAGCCCACAAAGATCTGGAGAGACTGTGCTGGTTTAATGGAGTTGACTGCCCCTCATTCTTTTTAATCTGTCAAATTAGATGCATTAAATACAATTTGAAAGATACTTAATGTTTTCCTAACATTGAATCACTGTGTTAGCAGTTGCTGATGTGGCCACAAGTGGTGTTAGATAAATGTGAAGGGAAGGCAAAGGCAGCATTTCTCTGTAAAATGTGTTAAATGCACACAGTAAGGTAAATATTTTAGTGCATGTGTGCTGATTGCGATAGCGTTGTGTGTCAAGGTTACTCGAGATTTTCTGCAGGGATGTGGGAGACTGTCCTTTCTTTATCATGACTGTGCTTTTCCTAAAGCAGCTTCACTTGCCTATAAACTTGTAGTTGTAACGTATTGAATCAATTTAGTACTTTCATTTTGCTGAACTGTAAATGGACTTTGAGTCATCTTCATCAGACTTTTTCAGTCTCAGAGACATTTCAGTTGCTGTTGCTACTCTTGGATTATCTAATTTAACATAACTGCCTCTTTAGGCTTTCTTAGTTTTATCTTTTTTTGTTTTTTTCCCTGACTAAATTGCTTTGGAATTTCTTGATTCTTTTTCAACAGGATGTCTTGTGAAGTTCTGGGCACCAATCCTGGCTACTTCCAAAGCGCAGCAGCTCTTGTTCCGCATTGTGGATTGCTTGCTACTCCCACATTCTGTGCTCCAGCAGGACAAAGAGCTGCCTGTGGCTTTGCTGTCTGCCATTCAAGAAAGCCTGCCTCTTTATCTTCAGGTAAGTATCTGAACTCTATTAATCAGCAGAGAAACATATCTTTCAGGAAAAGATTCATATTGCAGAGGATGTTTTCTTTTACTCTAATCAAAATAAACGTTGACTGAATTTAAAGAAGCAGCAAGAGGAGTTTTTTCTTCTTGTGGAAGTGGAAGGAAAAATGCCACCCCGTTGGCTTTCCTCTCATTGCATGCAGCTCTGCTGTGGTACGCTCCAGAGCTGCTAGTCTAATCGCTGTGTTTGGAAGAAGCTTTTAGCCAACCTGCTGTTTACACTGGTCTCTGCTGTGAGAGAATTCTGAAATAGTGGATCAAATAATCATAATATGTGGCAAGACACTTGTTCACTTGTTGAGATGACAGAGCAAACAAATGTTTTAGAACATTCCTGACTTGACTGGCTGTAGATAATTAGAGATGAGATACTCTTTTTTTTGTTGCTCTTAGGAACAAAAGACAATCCTCTGCATATCATGGCACTGTTTTATCTTAATAGTTTCAGAATATGTTGTCCTGAATTGCTTAAACTTACATGACTAAAGCCTCCTTGCCGTTATTCCTCCTATTCTTCTCTCAGCTTACCTATCACTCTTGAAAGCCTGTAAGGCTTGGTGATGCTGTAGAAAGAAACTAATTCCTGTGAGTGAGGAAGAGAAAAGGATATATTTTTAAAATAAAGAAGTTGACATGTTTTTGCTTGTAAATCCTTGGGTCTTTTTTTCTTGCTTTTTCCTCTTCCCTCTTAGTCTTCATTTTGATTGCAGTCTTAACTGCTTACGTAAAGTAAGGATTTTATTGTGAAACAATGCAGTGGTGACATTGTAAACATCCCTCGGATTTATTCCTCTTTCAAAAGTTGCGTTGTGATCGATGGCATGTCATATGGAAGTGAATATGATTATGTAATGATGTGCAAAATATGACTTGCTTTGCTCCTCTGTAGGTATTTTCAGAAGCTACATACATATAGGACCATCTGGACACTGATATTACTGCAGAGTGTGACTGTCTGCTAGCTACTAATTTAGTATTTTAGTCAGAGAGCACTGTTTCTCTGTAGTCTGCACATACGGATGTAGTTTTAAGATGAAGCTACTCAAGCTGGTTTTGAAGTCCAAGTGTTGTGGACCCTTGTTTCCTGTTTTCTTTGTCAGTCTCTGACTTCCTGACCTCACTGTCTTACTCTTCAGCAGTCTGCTGCATAGTCTGTGTGCTTTCCAACTAAGCTAGATGATCTTATTGACCAAATAGTCTATTTTAGACAAATGCTGCTTCTAGAAAACAAGTAATTCTTTAATTTGACAAACACTTTTGAGGAGAGAAGACAAAGAGGAGAAGACTTAATTTTCCTATTTCAATATGGAACCTTCTACGTTTTATTAATTGTTTGTATTTAAAAAGTTCCAAGATTTTTAAGTGCTTCAAAATGCTTTATTCATTCCAAAATACTTTCTTCCCTTTATTTGAGAAAGTGGAAAAATTCTGATTTAGCATCAACTCAAAATGAAAATATTTCAATATCATGTTTAAAAAAAAAAAATTCTCTTAGGACTACTTCTGAGCTCCTTTGAGATCGAATGGATTCTAGGCACTCTGACTTCTCAGGTTATCGTTTCACAGTTGTCTTAAAGCTAAATTAATTCCCTTTCACCCCCACGTGCATTCCTATTTAATTTGCTTTAATGATTCTGTGAATAACAAAAAACCAAACAAACCTCTCCCCAGCAAAAGCCAAACAGGCATATCAGAAAAGTGATAAAATGATATATGTGGGACGGAAAGCATGTAAACGTGGTGGGAGGAAAGATGGAGAAACAGAATCTGGGAATAACCCCACCTTGACTGCCTTAAACTGCTGGTGAGATGTGTGATCAGACACTCCTTGGGTGGCTGCCCCATGTCTGGTGCCCATTCGTGGAGGTGGAGCAGTGGTATTTTAGTGCAGGAGCCCTAATTCACCCTAATGTTAGACAAACATCGTTCTATACATCTGTCCTTGTTAATACCCTATTTTACAACTTAATCCTTTGGCAGTTACATGAAAATAAAGAGACAGGAATTTGGCAACCATGCAAAATATCTTCTTATACATGCAAATTCTTTATTCATAGTCAAAGCATAAAAACACTGGAGTAGCATTTCCACTCAGAAGTCTTCTCAATTTTTTATTTTTTTTTCTTTCCAGTATTCTGAAAAGTTCCAGACTCCATCTCAGTCTTCTTTTCTTGTCCTGAATTCGCCTTCTTCAGTTCCTTCAGTGCCTGCTGCTCCTCCTTTGTCCAAAAAAAACCTCCTTAGATCTCAGAAAACATCTTATTTTGCAAGCAGTGGTTAGCAAAACTTCCCTCTTTCCAGAGCTTTTAACAACTAATCTTAATGTGGTTTATTCTACGTGGGTTTTGAAAGGATTTGAAATCAGCCCTGCTAGCAGGTAATTAATTTCACACATTCATTGATGGAGCTGTTTTATGAAATCCTATAGAATTCCTCAATTGTATAGAAAAAGATTCCCCAGACAGTCACATACTCTGTGTAATGGTAATGCAACTGGCCATGCGACTTTGGTGGCAGCCTTAGAAACAAGGACAATGTTGTTGTCACTGTGCTGTACTAAGAGAGGGCATCGCCTTTGTTCGCCGCCCGATAATGGCGGAGGCCAACTCTTCGTCTTGTAGGACAACGTACGAAGCTCCTTCTCTATCCTCGACATAGTTTATTGCTACCCTCACAATTCATCAAAACTGATGACAGTATCTCACCCACCTTCATCACCTCATACCTTCAGGTTTATTTTTAATAGATTTAAATTATAGGCTCTGTTTAATTGTACACAAGCACAAATAGTTGTCAAATATGCTAATTAAGACTAGGCATTGCATTTCTCTCTCCTCAATTCAGACTGTCTGTATTTACTTGTTATGTTTGTGTTTACTGTATGTATAAATTTGGGCTATACAGCTGTGTCTTTTGACAGTTACTGGGCAATTGGTCTGTTCTCCACTATGCGTTGAGCTTATCTAGAAGTTTCCTTCAGACTCGATCACTGACGCTGCCCTGTCAAAACAGCTTAGCTCTTGCGACGTTTAAACTGATATTTTTTTTTCTTGCCTAAGGGATTACTGTTTGGATATTATTTTTCACTGTGCATCATCTGTTTTGATAATACTTGATGACCTAAGAAAGATTTTGTTGGGATATAATATCAAAATTGTCCTCAGAGTTGTTTGAATGACGGACTTGAGAAAGTAAAGCATGAAGAACATGAATGAATAGCCTTTTTATAATTTTATGGAACTCTTCTTAATTACGAGATAGTGAGGCATGTAAAATCTAACATTAGGTATTTGACACTGTAAAAAGAAGTTGAGTTGAGTTGATTTGTGTGATAGCAGGTCACCGAAGCCTACCATGGGAAATTTCATATTGAGATTGCTCTTGGATGGATTTCTTGGAGAATGATTTGTAGGAATTTTAGTACACATTTACCAATAATATGGGAAATAATGGAAGCAGTGTACACAACTTCTTTTAGAGAAGAAATAGCAGTTTAAATATATCTTGCAGGATACAGTGTGAGTGCATGGAATACACATAATGTACGTAATGATGGGGATGGTAAGATACCGTGCTTGATTTATCAGCGTTAATCCTGTCCAAATACAGAAGATGGTTGATTTCTATCTAAATACAGGAGAGTGGTGAAAGAGCTTAATTCTAAGTAGTGCTTAGCACATACATTTTCCAGTGATTTTAATGGGTCTGTGCAGGCTCAGCATTTGTCAGAGATCAGACCTTAAAAGCCCTCCTGTGAGCCACATCTGTGGTCTGGTATTTGAGCAAGCTTATTAATACAATTTGTGAATTATAGTATGTGTTTAATAGGAATTGTACAACATTAATTGGTGAACAGCAGATTTATTCCAACAGCAGGACTGATATTATAAGTCATCATTAGATAGCTTGGCATTTCTGCAGTGAATAGTTCCAGTAATCCATACTAATCGGTTCCTCGCTCTCCACAGGTGATTTACAGATATATGGATAAATCAGCAGAAAGAGGCAGCTCTGGCCACAAAAGGTTCCTGCAGTGAACACACACAGGAATCAGTTGCCTTTCTGCGAAAATGAGGAGCAGATGTTGCCATGCCCCTCTGCTCCCCTTAAAATGTCTTTGTTTTTTTCTGTTTGTTTTCGGGGTTTTTTAACCTCAGAAGATGGCTAAAGAACATAGTTAAGAAAAAGTGAGCGGCTCTATCAACCCTTTAAAGTCCATCTGCTTTGTAGGGATTGTCCTAGGGGTCTGATGTGATTGATTTCAGATCTCTGGTCCAGAACTGCAGTCCAGTAGCATGTGTTTCTTTTCTCTCTCATATGAACAGTAGCTTCCTTCATCTCTGTTAATTACTGGTGGGATTTACAAGAAGAAAGTTCCGTGTGATTTCCTTGTAATCGCATCCTTAGCCAGCACAGCCTAGGATGTTTTGCCATTGTACTCAGAGATTTGCAGCTACGGTGCAGTGTTGGTAATTTATCCCTTGTGCCACTTGGGACATGGCATTGTCAGACCTTAGGCAGGTCAGTTGCTCTCTGCATTTTGTAAGAAAAAGGAAGAGTCCAAAATAAAGAACACAGTGTTGAGCTACAGTCAATGGACCTTCATGTCCAAAAGAGGAATCCAAGTTCTATTCTGGAAACTTTCAGGGAACAGTCGAAGCATCAGGGTCAAAGGTGTGATGATTCTTGGATTCCATGGATTTTTCTACAATGTAGAAGAGAAGGATTTCTTTGTTTGAGGGTGTTTTCCTGGCTCCCAACAAAATGGAAGGTGACTTTTCTCACTGTTCTCTCACCTGAAAAAAGAATTTGTATCTTGGAAGCTGTTGGTGCTAATCTTGTAACTTTCATGAAGAAAAATGATGAGGATCGTCCTTACTGAAGAGAGAATTTTGTATTACTATGTGGTTTTAAAAATTACATCTTTTTTGAGAGCCAGCATCTCTGCGTGACCCACCAAAAAGAAACCTAGAATACTTTCTAAAGAAAACATTAGGTTACTGAAAAAAGGTCTTTTCTATGTTTTTAAATGCATTTTAACAACTGTCCTTACAAGACCTCTCTCTATCCTTATCAGATAACTGAAGAAAAAAATTCACTAGTTAACGTCCACCCTTTTTTCTCTCTCTAGTCGAGTCAGTAATGCTCTTGAAAGGATGTTGGGATTTTTATTTAATCCTTTCCTCCTTTTTCAGATTACATCTCTCCCCATCCCACACCCCCAAAATTTAGAATCTGTTTGCTTCAACTGAAAAAAAAAAAAAAAAAAAATGCTTTTATGAAGAATCAGGTTAGGTTTGCTCATCCATCTTCAAATGAAGCTATTAGAAGATCTGCAAAAATTAGTCAGTGTTCCTTCAGATACCTAAATGATATTTTTTTTCTTTTTATTGCACCAATTAAGTATCTTTAGGATCATTTCTTAAAAATAGTAACTCATTATTTAATAATAACTGATTTCTTCCTTCTTTTCTTCATACTATGTAGCGTTTATTGATCCTCAATTTGAAGAACTCTCTCATTTTAGTAATTATCAGTTAGTTCTTCACAGGTGTTATGTTCTTCGTGTATTCCTACAGATGTCCTCTGTAAGGTTGTGATGCTCTTTGTGTCCCTTTTATCAGATAGATTAATACACTTCCTCACGTTTTTTTTTTCTAGTGTTAAAATAGTCTAGAGTCTTAAGAGCGCCAGCTCTGATTTGGGGTTTATGCAGTATTTTCTGTCTTCTTGTAAGAGCTGTACTACAGAAAGCACAGGTGACTCTTCTTTATGCCCGCTGCAACATCTTATTGAAAACATCAAGCATTCAAGTTTACGTACTAAATAATCTGTCATCTGTACCAGGCTCTGCGTCTGCTACTTGCAAAGCGATGTTTTTAAGAATTCTGATAAAGCAGTGACTGCTTTTTCCTATAAAATTTTGCTTTATGTACACGAAAGCGGAGAGAATCTGAACTGCTTATCAAAGGCCCAGTTCAGGAAGTGTGGTTTTTATCATTGGGACTTACTAAAATTACCAAGGAACTCTAGAAGTATGTGAAGTTAAACTCTAACCAAACATGTCTGTGATCAAGCGAGGCCACCTGCAGCAAGTCTTCAGGCAGATTCTGAAGCACCTCATTTCTTGACATCTCATGTTTTCCTGTATTCGTTTACTGTGGAACCAAGAGGGAGAACTCCCCATTTTGAGAAAGTGCCAAGACGACTCTCAGCTATGTCTCAGCTTGCTTTTTTGCTGAAAGAATTGTTCTGTCATGTTCACATAGACAGGGATAGATTAAAATCTTTTGGGGCAGGGACTCCTCTACGAAAAGCAACAGAAGTACTCTTTGTCAGTAGCTGGAGAACAAAAGCAGCTTGTCTTGAGCTGTTCATTCATATATTAGGGGCATCAGCTTACCTCAGGAATCATCAATATGCAGGCAGATACTCCTCCTGCCAAAACTGGAGACTGAATTGCAATGCTAGTGGAAGTTTGAAGTACTGTTGCAGTTGCTGTCTAGGGAACCCTGTGCTTGAACTTCTTTTATGCCATTATTCTTGTTGGACAAAACTGTTGTGAAAACTGAATTCTCAAGAGGCTTCTGTTTGTGCCGCTGACTGTGACCCTTGCGATAGGAGATCACTGGACTTTTTTTTTTTTTCCTTAGTGATTTGTTCTTCTTCCTTTCAGTAATCAAAGGAAGGGGAAGGAAACACTTAACTTTCTCTCACAGCAACTTGTACGAGTAAGAAGAATACTCTTTTTTCAGAGGCGTACCGTGTATATGTTGTATAACTATGGGTAGTGTTCAGATAGGCACTTTCTGGACAAGTACTTTCATTATAGATTTTTCTCTGAATCAATATAGGTTATATTGGATAAATGACAGCAGTTTTGGCCTTAAACATTTTTAAAAAACTCTAAATCCCTTATAAATGCCTAATTTACCCTAATTTGTTCACACTATGAGCAAAATTTTTCTTGTCAGACCACTATTCTAAGTGCTCGTTTTTCTGCTATGTCATTCATACAAAAATTTCACACAGTGTTTAACAAACAGATGAGGTATTCTCTCTCTCCCTTCATAAACCTTACCTGACTAATATATTTTGTTAGACCATGCACAGAGTTGAAAAAGAAACGAGGAAGTCCTGGGCACTGAAACACTTCTCAGATCTGAAATGCCAAGGTTTTATTTCAAATTCGAAGGGGAGCTTGCATGTTCCAAAGTTTATCATCCAATATATTAGTCTAGTAAAAGATTTTTCTCTCTTTTGCAAGGCTTGCCCTGGCTCTCTGCATTTGTAGACCATCATATCTGCAGAAAATTACTGATGTTTATTTGTCATGCAGTAGTTACTCTGTGTGCAGCAGTTTACACAACGTGTAGCGGGTATTTAGCCTACGGTTGTTAAAGATTGGTTCAAAAATATTGTTAAAAATTTGTTCCATTTCTCACTTTTAAAATTTTTTCCTACAGGGCTTGTCCTTTATATGTTGTCAGTCCCAAACTCAGGGTGCCTATTTAAATCAACTGCTTGGGAGCATTATTCAACAGTATTTTGGACGATTTCTCCCTTCTTCTCCGACTGTGCCTGGAGCCGGACAGCATCCTATGCTGACTGCTTTATGCAGTTCCATTACAGCCCCCCAGATGCTACGTCTACGGAAGACCACTCTGCATGTCGTAAAGTAAGGACCAGTGGAGTAAAAAACCATCACTTGTTCAGATTTCACAGATAGCTAATGAGAAAGGGAATGCCACTGTTTTTCCTCTCAGTGTGAGGAAGGACAATATCTATAGAGCAGGAGAGTGAAACTGGGAAGATCTGGAGACTAGTGAGAGAGTCATTGAGGACGGAGGTCCTAGACTGTAAGAAAAAATATTGCGTGGGGCCACATGAAAAGCAAGTATTTTTCTAGAAATACTGCGCTGTAATGTACATTATCATATGTTTGTGTCTCAGGCTGTATTTAGGGTCACAGAGTCGTAGTGCTTGTAGTTGCCACAGTTACCTTTATATGGGAGGCCTCATTACTCTTTTCTAAGTGTCAGGATATACATAGGTGTGTCAGCTACCCAGGGGAAATGGAAACTTTGGGTTGTGGGAAGAGCAAAACGATACTTGTTAACTGTGCCACCGTTACTTGCGCAATGTCAACAGCAGCTATAAATGTTGGGTCCCTGCTGCTGAAAGGCCAAAGCTTTAATTTATGTACTGTAGAATAGGGAAAAATCTGTACCTTTTGTCTGTGTTGGGAGAGCAATTAAACCCTCTCAAATATAAGGTGATTGCTTATATCCAAGGTAATTATGTTTTTTCTTTGTTAAAGAGTGTGTATACATGTTGATTAAAAGAATTTTAGTGTTGATCTTAAGTAACTATGATAGGCAGTCCTGTAAGTAAAGCCTGTATTATCACATAGTAAGAGAGTGAATTAAGATTTCACAGTCTTAGTTCTGATATGTTTTTAACTTATGAACACTCTAACTTTGTCATCTTAATAAAGTTATTTTTGAGTGTGTGCATGCATGGGTGAATTTTAAGATTGATAGTAGAAAGAAATTTCTGAAAATGTAATGGCACTTGGTGATTTTTAAGACATGAAACGTTCCTTAGTGGTCTGGGGAAAATATCTCAGAACTGAGCAGCAGCCTGATGCGCAACTGTTGGGTGCTCAGGAGGCGGTCACTAGGTCTACACATAAACACATACAGAGTTCGCTCGCCATTTTGCCATTTGAAAGCTAGTGAATATCTTGCTGCTGCACAGAGGAAACTGAACCAAATGATCAGGGGTGTATTATCCAGTTCAGAAAACCATTTTAGTGGAAGAGCACCCAAAAAAAAAAAAAAAAATTGGTGTGAAATTTTCCTTGTAAGTTAATGGGATAGAAGATTTCAGAGTTGCTAATATTAAAGTGAGTAAGACCGCATGATACAAGGAATATAGAATTCAAGTGTTACAGCTTTCATTTGCCAAGTTACACCAGTGCTCTGAAGCTGTGCAATGAAATGCTCAGATCTCTGAAAATCAGGTTTCATTTGAAAGTGGCAGAAGCAAGCCTTACTAAGATTTTAACAAAGATGGTGTTTTTTAATTGATGCGTTGCTCAGTAAACATGCATGCCCTGTTTGGGTAGCTAATGGTAGCTACTACTAAATATATAAAAAGTTATTTTGCAGCTTTTGAGAGTGCGCTTGCTAACTGATTAATAAATGCTCTGTTCTTTTTACCTGCATTTTTTGGCTTGAACGTCTCAATTTAAACCTGTCTTCAGATTTCAGTGAAGTCATTTATAATGTCAAATTAACAGTACTTCAGACTTTTAAATCCTTTTGTGGAAAACTAACAAATCAAGCCGTTCAAACTGGAGCATTCAGTGTGCGTGATGTCAAAATTTGCTCTTGCTGCAGATTGACAGGGCACCTTTTATCTTTGTGACAAATTTTATACTGGACATGATTGTGTTAATTGTGACGGAGCAAAAGCAGACATTTGCTGTCCCGTTACAACATACTGTTGACGAAAATAAAATAACAGTACCAGTATAACAGCAGAGCTGTTATAACAAGTTGGATTGTGAGTTGACTAAAGCTAAATAAAGTAATTGAACAACAGTTGTATTTTGGATGTTGGTTTAAGGTCTTAGAATCTTGATTTCTCTGGATTTTTTTCAGTTATTTTATGAAACTGCCTTTATATCTTAACTTTTATGGTCACACTTGGCTTTTTAACTGTAATTCTTATAGCTGCTGTTTCTCACTTCCCTCAACAGAAGAGTCAGAAGGCATCACTGTCCTCTGATAAATTGGGAGTTGTTCCAAGACTAAGACAAATAGAAGCCATTAGTCGAGCCTAGATAA